CTCTGCCTCTCTGTCTCTCTCTAGTGAGCACACATGCTCTCTGGCAACTAAAAAGAAAATAAAATACAAAACAGTTTGAATATATTTGTGTACCAAGAAAAATTTGAAATTCATGCATCATAGCCTTTTCATAACATGTATTTTCTATAAACTTTTTGAAGACACCCCCCCCACCATATATATGACTTTATTTTCAGGCTTCAATATTTGCATTCCACCTTTATAACTCATGTCACATCTCATCACTTATTCAAATTTTATTCTTCTAAATTGACCCACTTTTTCATTTATGTAATTCTAAAAGGGAGCTTTACATTATCTAAAAACTCACTGGGTCAATTTTTTTATCATATTAAGATAGATAAAATGGGAAATAAAGGCATTTGATAGAAATGGCTACTCAAACTATAACAGCTCATATGCCAGTTGTGGTACATGTACACCCTTTGGGGAAATGCAGACATAAGGTTTCAACCAGAAAAAGCCCTCCATTAGATCTCCCCTAACTAAAGTCCCTGCCATGAAAAGGGATCTTGCTTGCTAACTAGCATTTACTGTTGCCCTCTGCAGTCCAGTGCATGTAGGTCGCACATACAGCTCTGATGCATAGCATTACACATGCACAAGCAGCAATATTTGGTTATTGCCAAGTGCCGAGGCAAAGTGAGTTCTTGGTAAAACTACACAAAAGGTCAAGTATGTAACTTTAGCATCATGCTATCTCTTCTTTCTCTATTTTTCTACCTTTAAAAATTGTAGCATCCTATGTGTTTCATTTACCCACCCCTCAATGAATGCCCCATTACGGCTTGTCCTTTCGAAGCAGAAATCCTATCGGGTTCTCTTCCATCTATATTCATTGCCTATGTTCTGTCTCAAAACCTCAGAACAGGGACCAGCAGTTAGCGTAATGACTATGTCGCTGGACTCCCACATAGTCGACCATGGTTCGAGTCCCGAACCCGGTGGCTTAAACTCACGCTGGGTGCATGTGCATGCATGCCCAAGATCCTGTGAGGAGAATGGAGGAGAAGGGATTGCTGTGTGGCCATCCCCCCTGAGAGGTGATTTCTCGCTTTCTGTCTCGCTGTCTTTGTCTGGCAAGCGCACGCACCCTATAGCCAAAACCTCTCCAAAACAACAACAACAAAAGAAACCTCAACATAGCTTTCCTGGATAATATCCTCTCAGATATATATCTGGTAACTTTCAATCTAATATGCTGACTCTCAATAACTTTTCTAATTGAAAATAATTTGGCCAAATTTCTTAGTCGCTGCTAGAGAAGACTTTGAATTTTAATGGGAGAATAGCATTGTGTCATTTTTTATTCTGTAAAGATGAGTAGCTGAGAGAGAATTTGAATTCTCTTATAGAGTAGATTTTTCCTTGGGTAGAAGACATATCAACATTTTTTCCAAATTGTACCAGGTAGCCTAGAAATTCTAGCTCTTTTGGCACTTAATTTTCATTAACCTTTCCATGAAAAAAAGTGAAAAAAAGCAACAAGCAAAATTTTTCCTTAAATACTTTTTTAAAGTTATCAGAAGGTATGTTCACGTACCAGAGACAAAGAGAAAGAGAAAGAAAACACATCTCACCCTGTGAGGTGTGGTCATACCACAATCCCTTCCCCTTCATTTCTCTATCCTGTTGAGATTTAGGGCTCCCACCCACATGCACTCACTAGGGCCAAGAATCAAATCACATGGTCCACCTAGTGGGATTCGGACTCCTTAACTATTGATACTAGGCCATGGGATCACCCATTTCCTTAAATATAATACTTTCAAGTATTCATTAGAGTTCTCATTTTTGGTAAAGTTTTTTTTTTTTTTTTTTTTGTATTTTCGTTTTAGAGAGTTTTTCGTTATAGGGTGTGTGTACCCACTAGAGAGACAGAGAGAAAGAAAGTGAGAAATCACCCTCCAGGGGGCACAGCCACACTGCAATCCCTTCTCCTCCATTCTCCTCTTGGGATTTTTAGGCACAGAAGCATATGTGCCTGGTGTGAGTTTTAAGCCACTGGTTCCAGGACTCTAACACTGTTGACTATGTGGTAATCCAGCGATGTAACCATTATGCCACCTTCTGGTCCCTATTTTTGGTAAGTTTTACAGATTCAAAGCAGAATTAAAGTACATAGAAGTAAAAAGCAAGTGTCTGGCCAGACTCTTTTTCCTCCTACCTGTGACTTGTATCCAGTTGAGAAGCATCTATGAATTTGTAGAGGCAAATTTAGATGAAGCTAATGGAGCTGAACTAAGCTGCAGGACCCCTCCCTTGCATGAGTTCTGGGAGGCATCCTGCAATGTGTTCACAATGTGTTCATCACTATGTGTTTTCATACAATTTGCAAAAACTTAAGTTGAATAGAACTACTGTTGCTCACCCATGGCTCGCCCTTCCATCACATGTTCTCTCTTGTTGAATGGTTTTGGTATGTTCATGATTGAGTGTGCAATATGCTAAAGGAGATTAACCTGGGAGTACACTTAGTTTGAGTTAATGTGGCTCAAAGTCACTTTTATGTTTCTCATTAATTTATGAAGTTATGGCCAGTCATCTTGGTTTAGGAGCAACTTCCATGGTATTCCTACTGCTTAAAAAAAAAAAAAAGGTGTAGGATCATAATTTTGTCAGAATATTAATAATTTTTTTCCTTAGACTTATTGAGGATTGTGTCATTTGTCAGCTTTTTAAAAATTTGCAATTGGTGGGCCACCTGGTGGCATGGAGGTTAAGGTTAAGGTTAAATCTGGATCCCATATGACAAAATTTATGGTTCGAGTCCCAGACCTGGCAACCTAAGAATCATGTTGGGCATGTGTGCATACATGCCTAGAGTCCCAAGGGGGAGAATGGAGGAGAAAGGATTGCAGTGCGGTCATTCCCTCTGGGAACTGATTTCTCATTTTCCCTCTTTCTGTCTCTGTCTCTTGCTAGTGAGCGCATATGCCTATAGCAAACAAATAAACCAACAAAAAAGTAAATAAAATGTAGTCAGTTGTGATTTATTTTCTTATTCACAATAACATCCTTTCTTATGTCTACTTTTTTATTGGTAATTTTTTTTTTTTTTTACTTATTGAGAAATCTCAAATTATACAAGCTTCAAGTCCTACAGTTCTACTGTTGGGCACCAGCTACAATTAGTACAGCTGAGACCATATCAGCAGGCTCTGTCCCTTATAAGGTACATTTTTCTATTGTTTTGGGGGTTCAGAAATTACATTTTTAGAATATGAATTGCTTAGTTACTTTGCTGGAAATTAATTACTGGAAATGCCCATGCTATTCGCAACTTCTGCTATCACTTACTTCAGAACGAAAGTGTCCCACAGTGATGGCTGTTTTCTGTTTTTTTCCCAAAAAATTTTTCATTGTGGTTTATGCCTTCATCCTTAGGGCACTCCTCTTAAACTAGTCCCCATGATGTTCACTCTCTATCTTCTCTGTCTTGGAACAATTTCCCAAAGATTTAATTAGCTCTTACATTAGTGAAGCAGTTCCTTGTTCGGGTGCTTCTGTTTGTAAACAGGAAAGTGTTTTATATTTGGCTGCCTGGAGAATTTGCTACTCAAAATCCATTTCCTCATCAGGTCTATTACTTCTCAAGTCCAGATTTATGCATACTTATATTTTCATGCATAGGGTACCTTACCTCAGGGTCTCAGTTTATATATATGGCAGTTTCCACTTCAATATTGAATTCATCGTTGGAAAAAAGACCCAAAAGACTTTCCACATTTCATCTCCAGCTTTCATTACTTTGTGGATTCTGTATTTCAAGCATCCTTAAATAAAGTGATGAATTTTATTTCCAAACTTTCAAAATGGTGCCAATGCAGTTATTAAGTACATATTTTACCAATTACTAATCAGTGTTTGTTCACATTTCACACTGTCAGTGCTATACTGTTATCTTTTTAAATACAGAATGGGTGTTTTATTTTATTGTCCAGAATCATTTGTTTTTCTTCATGTCTCTTATAATGTTTCTATCTCTTATCCATTCCAGTGGTTATAAACGATCACCAGAGTGGATATAATCCAACAATTTTTTATATGCTTCTGAAATAAAACTCAATAAGTCTGTTTTTAATGAAAAGAAATTGTTTAGTTTAGCTCAAGCTTAACCTGGACTTTCTTTTCATGTAAAAATTATTTTTGAAAATAGGTTTAAAACACATTTATCTATTTTATTGTATTATCATAACATATTTGACCTTATTTAATTAAATCTTATTTAGTGTTCATAGATTCTATTGTGCCTGGGGTCATTATTCTGATCAATTTTTATTGAATAAAATTTACAGAAACTATAACTGTCAGTGGGACAGGGTCCATGATAAAGTAACTCCAGAACTGACTTAAAAAAAAGAAAACACATTCCTCTCTTAGCTTTTATTTCCCTACTGAATTACATAGATTTTAAAATATAATACTATGGGAACCAGAAGGTAGTGTAATGGTTACATCGCTGGACTCCAGTGTAGTTTACAACAGTTCGAGTCCCAGACCCAGCAGCTTAAAAACTCACACCGGGCAGTGTGCGTGTATGCCGAAAACCCTGAGAGGAGAATGGGAGAGCAGAGATTGTGTTGTGACCATCCTGCCTGGGGAGTTAATTTCTTGCTTTCTGTCTCTCTGGCAAGTGTACACATCCTATAGAAAAAATCTCTTTTTTAAAAAAATAATAATACTATGAAATATTAAAGGGTCTCAGAACTCTTGTTTCTATGTACCCGTTTTCAATATGCCAGATTTGCTGTCTAAATTCATTCTATCATAACACACCGGTCATAAGAGGATAAAGTATCTAGAAATGTTCTGGTTGATCTTCAGCAGGCTGGGTCTGATGCTTGTGCTTTTAGCTTGTAAGCTGTACTACCCAAATGCAACAGCTATAAAATAATGAATACAGCATGGTATGTTTTGGTGACCCTTTCTTGTTTATAAACCACATTTACATCAAGTGTTTGATTTTATTTTCACAGTGACTTATCTTCATACAGAAGAAAAAGCTGATTCTTCAGGAAGTTGGTTGCTACTGGGGCTAATAATTCCCACAGGTAAATTTATGTATTGTTTAGATATGGTACTTTGTACAGAATTCAAAGTTATAAAAAGGTACATGGTGGAAAGTGAGTCTGTCTCCTGTCCTTCCTTCATCCAGTTTATTTTCCTCAGAGAAAACTGTTATTGCTGAGGTCTTGTGTAGCCTTCCAAACATGGGGTAGATGTCTCCAGCTTGCCTTCCATAAGAGTTGGCGATCTATAGCCCCCAGGCCAAATTGTGTCTGTTGTCTGTTTTGTAAGTAAAGTTTTATTGGAATACAACTGCACACAGTCTTTCATGTACTATCTGTGATTGCTTTTGAGCTACAACAGAGTTAAGTATTTCCAGCAGAAACCATCTCACCTACAAATTTACAATATTTGTTGTTTGTCCTTTTACCTCTCCCAAAAAACTTGCCCAAACCCAGCCTATACAATCAAATATATATTTTATATATGTGTGTGTGTGTGTGTGTGTGTGTGCGTGTGTAGTCTTCAAAAAGTTCATGAAAAATACATTATGAAAAAGCCAGAGGAACCAGCAGTTAGCGTAATGGCTATGTCGCTGGACTCCCACGTAGTCGACCACAGTTCATGTCCCGGACCTGGTGGCTTAAAACTCATGCCGGGCGCGTGTGCATGCGTGCCCACCCAAGATCCTGAGAGGAGAATGGAGGAGAAGGGATTGCGACATGACCATCCCCTCTGGGGGTGATTTCTCGCTTTCTTTCTCTATGTCTCTTTCTGTCTGTCTGGCGAGCACACGCTCCCTATAGCATAAAAAACTTATCCCAAAAAATAAAAAATAAAAACAAAAAGTCAGGCATTTTAATTTTTTGCATCAAAATAAACTTGCTCTTTAGTTCCATTTTTTATAAAGTTTTAGGAGTCTCTATGGGTGTGTATTCATTTTTTTCACCTCTTATATTAAACTAAATAGTTTCTATACTTTTTAATTAAAAATATTTTGGCAGTCATATCAAATCTATAAATATAAACCTTTATTCTCTGCAACTCCTTCATTTACTATGTCCTATGCACTTTATATTATTGTTTTAATTTTCATATGATCTTAATTTTATAAATGTGAATAATGAAACTCAGAATTAAGTGACTTCTAGTTAACTCCCAAATAATAGGGGTAAGTAAGGGTTTTGAACCCATATGCCTCTTATACCAAGGCTTGAGTGCTAGTAGTGGGCAACCTCTGTTCTGTTTGTTGAATAGTGACTGGATTAGAGAATAATGTTTATTTTGATTTATGAACATTACACTTGTCTATGTAAAGGTGAATGTGTCTTGTAAGAAGACTATGGACTTGCTTTGTCAGGAAGGTGGCTGAATCATGAACACTATGCATTTTTAACACATTCAGTAGAGTTTAGCCTTTTCAGCATTGACCTCTGAGTTAGTAGCCCTCACACTGTTGGTTATGATTCTCTGTAGACTCCATCAAAAGGTCTGCAGGTGTTCACAAACTCTTCTGCCCACCAAGAGTGAATAATGGTGTATATATGAACATTTTTGTGATAATAGTGTGATACCAATTAAAACTTCCCAGATGGTCAAATTCTTATTTTATATATGGTTGCAATGACCTTTGGAAATTTCTTAAATTTTCCACAAAATATGTGTACAGACATATTGTTCCACAGTAGGTCCAACCCAATCAGTGAGCTTTCTTCCTGTGCTGTTTTATTGGTTGAAGACTAGATGAAGATGATGACAGTTATCTAGGAAACACATTGTATATAAGTATTTAACCTTATTAACTGGAATCACTTTCATTTAGCAAGATACTCAACTCTAGTAGAAACTATTTGGAGATGAAACAGATCAAGAAAAGAACATCTTTATTTTTTCAATCTTATAATTATTTTAGGACATGAGTTACTGAGTGGGAAGAGTGAAAAGAATTGCAAATTCTAGCTACATTATTTTTTTCCTTTCTCACACTTTCAGTTCTCCAACTTGTCTAAGTCAAATGTATATGATTCCACCCTCCTGACAACCCTCAGTTAGACTTATCTCTATTTGAAAATTTTACCATTATGTTTTTGCAGCCAGTAAGTATGAAAGGTTTACTAAATTTTAGAGCTTCAAGAAAATATGGTTTCTCAGGCTGAATGCTACTGCCATGGATTGTTTCAAATGGCTTGATTTTTTTTCAGAGGAATTGCGTTCATTTTCTAGTTTTTCTCAAACCAGACAGACTGAGTTCTCTATAAGGTATAAATAAAACACAAGACATCAAAATTCCTGAAACCTTTACCTAGTTCCCAGGGAGTACAGCAGTCTTAAAATAATATATAAATGGAGACCAGCAGATGGCGAAATGGCTATGTCGCTGGACTTCAATGTTGTCGACCACAGTTCGAGTTCCAGACCTGGTGGCTTAAACTTATACTGGCAGGTGTGCATGTATGCCCAAGATCCTGAGAGAAGAATGGAGGAGAAGGGATTGCGGCGTGACCATCCCCCCTGGGGTGTGATTTCTCGCTTTCTGTCTGTCTTTCTGGTGAATGCACACGCCATATAGCAAATAATAATAATAATATAAAAGTGAAAATATTTAAAAGTTATGTGGTGGGCATGGTGGTTCCCGCCCTGTGGTAAAAGTTATGTGGTGTGCCCTTGTTCTCCTCCCTTCTCTTGTCTGCTGGTGCTGCTCTGCTCTTTCCAGCCTCTGGCAAGCAGTCTTCCTGAGACAGAGCACCATGCCTTCAATTAAGTTGCAGATTTCTGTTGGAGAGCTATTTGAAATAGATATGGAAATTGCCAGTCTGTGACTATCAAGACCATGTTGGAAGATTTAGGAATGGATGATGAAGGAGACAGACCTGGCGGCTTGCCTTCTCACTTTCCCTTTCTTGCTCTCTCTGTCTCTCTCTGGTCAAATTAAAATTAGTAGATAAATAAATAAATAAATGTTAAATGAAATAATTCTTAAAAAAGAATGGGGAGAAGTTTCTGCTGTAGGGCGCATGCCCTCATCGGAAAGAGAAACAGAAAGCGAGAAGTCACCCTCTGGGAGGATGGCCATTCTGCAATCTCTCCTCTTCCATTGTCTTCTCAGGATCTTGGGCACACATGCACATGCACCCAGTGTGATTTTAAGCCGCCAGGTCTGGGACTCAAATCACAGTTGACTACGTGGGAGTCCAGCAACGTAACCATTACACCATCTGCTGGTCCTAAAATCAGTAGATTTCTAATACTGATTGTACCTATCCTTTTGTTTGTTTGTTTAGAATTATTTTATTGAACTTTATTTATTTATTTTAATTTGACCAGAGAGGGACAGAGAGAGAAAGAGAAGGGGAAAGTGAGAAAGCCAGGTCCAGGACTTCAGCCTCGGTCAGCCATGCAGGAGTTCAGCACTCTTAACCACCATGCCACCTGCCAGCCCCAGTACCTGTTCTTTTAATTCCTAACATTATTCAGAACTTCTCTTTATCTCAATTGTCTCATTAAAAAAGTTTATTTTATAATTATCTTCTAAGATCTAACTTTTGGCTTGTTGACACTTTCTACTGAATCTTCATTTTCTCTCTTTAATTTCTGCTCTTACCTTGACCAGTTCCATCCTTCTGTTGTTTTTGCTTTATTCTGTTACTCTTTTCCCAACAGTTTAGCTCGTAAATTTTCTCCACCGAGATAAAATTCATAAACCATAAAACTTACCATTTTAAAGTTTAGAATTAGGGACCAGCAGTAGCGTAATGGCTATGCTACTGGACTCCCATGTAGTCAACCTTGGTTCGAGTCCTGGACCCAGTGGCTTAAACTCACACCGGGCAGGTGTGCATGTATGCCCAAGATCCTGAGAGAAGAATGGAGGAGAAGGGATTGCGGCGTGACCATCCCCCCTGGGGTGTGATTTCTCGCTTTCTGTCTGTCTTTCTGGTGAATGCACACGCCATATAGCAAATAATAATAATAATATAAAAGTGAAAATATTTAAAAGTTATGTGGTGGGCATGGTGGTTCCCGCCCTGTGGTAAAAGTTATGTGGTGTGCCCTTGTTCTCCTCCCTTCTCTTGTCTGCTGGTGCTGCTCTGCTCTTTCCAGCCTCTGGCAAGCAGTCTTCCTGAGACAGAGCACCATGCCTTCAATTAAGTTGCAGATTTCTGTTGGAGAGCTATTTGAAATAGATATGGAAATTGCCAGTCTGTGACTATCAAGACCATGTTGGAAGATTTAGGAATGGATGATGAAGGAGACAATGACCCAGTTCCTCTACCAAATGTTAATGTAGCAATATTAAAAAGGCTCATTCAGTGGTATACCCACCACAAGACAAGGATGACCCTCCTCCTCCTAATGATGATGAGAAAAAAGAAAAGTGAACAGATGATATTCCTGTTTGTGACCAAGAATTTCTGTAGGTTGACCAAGGAACACTTTTTGAATTTATCCTGGCTGCAAACTACTTAGACATCAAAGGTTTGCTTGATGTTACATGCAAGACTGTTGCCAATATGATCAAGGGAAAAACTCCTTAGGAGATTCAGAAGACTTTTAAAATCAAAAATGACTTTACTGAAGAGGAGGAAGCCCAGGTACACAGAGAACCAGTGATGTGAAGAGAAGTGAAATCTTGTGCCTGACCCTGTAACACTAAGAATTGTTCCATATACTAGTTACACTGCTCTGTTTATAATTGTTATTAGACATACAGTAGACAAATGCAGCAGCAAATCAATTGTATTCACAGAATGTTGTCCGTCTTCCATGTGTAGTTTGAGTACAGATTACAAACCTATAGCCGAGTTTCTTCCAGAATGATTGAAAGTTTCTTTTTTCCTTTGCTCTGAATAAAACTGAACTGTGTGTTCCCTATAGAAAGTGGCATTTTGGGCTTTTCCTCTTCATGTAAAGCCATTTCTGCCTAGTTGATTGTCCGCTTATCTTTGGTGACTTTTTAAAAGTTGTCATTGTAAATAAAGTAACTTGGAAAAAGTTTTGTGAAATAGATTTAACAAAAAATTGTCTTTATACCTAAGTTGGAAAC